AGAAAGCACCTTAATTGTGACTGTAAGACTAAGCAGGCCAAATAGGCGGTGTGTGCCTTTATCTTGATGACCAGGACTTCCATTTTTATATAGGAGATTAAGAAGTAAAGCTCCTGTTATCTGCTGTGAATCTAAACAGCATTTAATTATGGCAGCAATTAACAGAATTGCAGTGGAAGCCGATACAGAAGTAGAAAATCTAGCAAGTTGTATCAGAACAGGGAATCAAGCTGTTGCTAATGGAGTTTGAACTGGTGGTGGTTTTGTGCAGTAAGTTGTTGAACATGTAGCCTCTTTGAGCCTGATTAATCATTATTTTAGCCTGGTGAACATCTTTAAAGAATGCAGTCAATCCAATCTATAGATCAGAAAACTGATTTTTCTCAGTGTTATTCTTAAGCATTCACTGTGCTGACCCACGATGGTAGGAAAGAGCAGAGTGAGGAGCGTCAGCTGTAAAACAGTGGGGAGAGGGTTTTTAAAAAAATAAAAGAAAATGAAATTATAAGCATATGCTGCTGAGGTTGCACACTCAAAATCCAGATGGACTCAGCTGCTGGGGTCTTTGCATCCCCTCTGCTTTGAGGGCCACTCGAGCTGGATTCTGAACTGGATCTGGACTTGGAAGAAAGTCATTAGCCCATAAACTCATTCGTCACACTTCCGTATAATTACTGTTGAAATCCAGTGGAAGTGATCTGTGAATAATAGTTAAATGCTCTGATGGGGATAGTGTATTTAGGAGAGGATGGTAATAGCAGGAACGAGAGTTCTTGGAAAGACTGTCTTCTATCCTATATGCAATTAGGGCTCTCTGAAATTTACTTCTGATGTAAGACAAAGGTGGGCTTTAAAGATGAGGATCATTTACCCTAGTTATCTTCAGAATAAGAATCTATCAGTGCCACTTTAAAAACCCTAAAAATTGCACATTGCAGAGGTTAGCAGAGGCTAAAATAGTTATTCCTTTGGTTTTAGCTTCTGACACAGTCATTCTACATTGACAATCTATTATGAAGATCTCTGAATTTTTGTGGAACTGTGCTTTCTAGTAGTTGGATTACATTATTACTGTATTACTGCATATCTGCAATTATGTTTCAGTCAGAAAGTATTTTAAGAGATCTAGGTTTTTATTGGTGTAGCATCTGAGAATTGGGTTTTGGAGGTTCCCAGCTGTACTTCAATAATCAGAAATGGCAAATAACCATTTGCAGTGACTCATTGACCTTCAGGTGCTTGGAAGGGAAGCCCCCACAAAGCAGGGTGCTGCAGGATGCTGTGGCTTTGCTGTCCTGACGCTGATGTTCCTACACACGTCAATGATATCTACACTTGCTGTGGGGCTCTCCAGAGTCAGATGAAGAATTACTGCTATGGTCCTTCCATTGCACGTATTTTATTGCCTTCACACTGGGGAATTGCTGTCCTCCTGGAGGAGCAATTTGTACTGCTCAGGTTAGATGTGTAAATGTACAGGCAGTTGGCAGCAGGTGGTGCCAGAAATGAGCTTAATCACTGCCAACAGATTACTGCTTAAAAGTAATGTAAAGTCATCTTATATTTGTAACTGCATTTCCAAAATTTTTTAAGTGGAGCCTAGCTGAGGTTTTACGGATCACAGATTCCAAGCATTTTCTGTTAGAATAATCTAATTATAAAGGCGGTGCACTCTGCAATGCTGCACACGTGCAAATGAATCCTTTCCTAAAAAAGAAATAATGTGCTGCAAAGGCCTTCCTTTCCTTACTAAATCTTAGCGTTGTTCTTCAGTCTCTTCGTAAAGAAGATGAAAAGTGGGCTTTTCTGCTGCTTCTGTCCTAAAGCAAATCCATGTGATGACTCAAACTTACGATTACAGACGGTTTGGAGTTTACAACTAAACTTACGTAGTCATCTCTCAGACTTTTTATTCACTGAAGGGGAAGGAAATATAGTACAGATATCTGGTAATTACCTTCAGGAAAAAAGCTGGCTTTCAGCTTCTTGCTGGTATGTATTCATCAACTCAAGTGATAAAAGGGGCACAGACACACCTCGTACACAGTGTGCATGTCATGGCCGTTATCATTCACATCAGTCATCTTGAAGCAGTTCTCCTTTGCTTCTTTTAAAAGGCTTAACTTGCCTTTATTTTCATAGATATCTGAAGTGCCAAGCGAAATGTAAGAGAAACTGCTGTGCTGGTCTTGAGACCTTTATAGTATGAGTGCAATAGCAGCGGAACAAATACTTTGGGGAAAAAAAATGCATCACTTAAGTATTTGAGTAATTCTCAAATCTCAAAGAAAGATGAGTTTTGAACATCTTCAAATTGTACAAAAAACCACCCAAATCATTTTGCAATTACTAGAATTGCACGTATGTGACAAAAGAAACATTTCCTTTCAAAAGGAAAGGTAAGCATGTAAAATGTGATGGCTTTCTTGTTGTAATTTCCTTTAAAAATGTATCATATTTAATCGATGTAATACCTTGCAGGGATTAAAAAGCCCTCCAGAGGTGACTGAACGTGCTGTGTTTCTGCAGTACCCAAATGCAGGATCCTAATCAAGAAAATACAGCCAGGGTACTTTGAACAGTGGCACACGTAAGCTCATGTTTGGACACTGATCTAGTTTACAGAACTAAAACACCCAAGTAATGCTTCAGTCTACATGTGAAGAAAACAAAACATTCCTTTCACCTTTTCTTATTTTCTTCCCCTAGCAGCAATACGAATTGTGAGCTGAATGGTAAGAACAGATATGAGTAGGACTGAGGAGCTTCCCAACACAGGCTGTTGAGATTACAGAAATGTTTTGCAGACTTTCACCCCACTCCTTTTCCAAGGTAAGAAGGGATGCAAAGATGCTTGCTGCTATCTCTTCCCTTCCTCTGTAGAAGCAAATAATGGGGGCTGGGGGGCTGATCTCTTTGAAGCGATGCTGAAATGAGAATATATTAATAGGTATTTTTCTTCCTTATTTGTTCATTTTCATAAAAGACTCAAAGATGCAAGAGTAAAGGACAGCACAGCGGCTTGTGCCCATTTCAGCTAGCTAACAGAGGAGTATCCCCAAAGAAACAGACCCCGGTTTAAAAACGTTGAGGTGAAGAACTGGTCTGATTGCATTTAATAAGATTAGTTTCCTGAAGTTACACTAGAATAAATTAACAGTAATGGTACATCACTGTCTCTATTCATCCTCTTACCTCCAGGCTTAGTTGTCTTCTGTCTACCACAGGACAAGAACGCCTGCACAAAGCAGAAGCACTGTGCCCTGCAAGTTCACCCTGTGCTGACTGGGTGCTTGTGCCCAGGAGACTTGTTAGGATCTGAATCAGACAAGGAGTTTGTAGGTACAGGGAACAGCTCTCTGACATCCCTTCTAACATCAACTGTGGTATGTTCCTTGTGAGTGCCATTCTGACTCCATCAAACCTACCATTTCCATGTCTTTTAGATGAGTCATTAGGAGGTGAGTTCCTCTTTGCCATCTACCACTGTGCCATTCCTTCACCAGTCAAACGGACTACAGAGTGAGCGCCTTACGGAGCAGCTGTGACAGTGACAGGGAAAGCTTTCCCACCCGTGTCCTTTCTGTCTGTGGATGCCGCATGTCAGTGCCAGATATTGGGGTATTTCACTGCCTGGAACTTTTAGTGATTAGTGGTAGGAGGGGGAAAAGCACACTGTTTCCTCCAAGTCCACATCACAGACACTAATAGCATATCCAAGTATTGTCAGATGAGTGATCTGTGAAGTGCTGTTAATACTTTTAAGGTACATGTTAAAATAAAAAGCTAAAACAAAAAAGAGAGAGAGAGAGAGAAATGGAACCCTACAGATGTCAGCAAGCACTGCATGCGCAGTGATTTAAGCAATGACAAGATATATAAGCATTGGTGGTATCAAAGCTAAGTGGCAGTAAGCAGGGCTGTCACCCAGTTCTCAGTGCTTCAGGAATAAAGCCATAGCCAGGGCTGTGCTGGAAGAGGAGCTCGCTCATTATCTGATACACCACCCAAGCCAAGTGCAGTGCAGTTTCAGTTTTGAGCGTGAAACTACTTTGCAACTCTTCAGTGTCTGAAACGTATTCAAGAAGAAAAAGCAAACCAAAGCACCTCGCTTTTGCGTTAAAAGGGTCTTCTACCTTATGCTAGTCATTAACCTGAATGAGCTACTTCTCAAAAAAGTTCTAGATGTGAGTGCTTTGGTCGGGGAAATGTGCTGAGGTGTTTGTGGGCTGCCACGGCTGGCCTCTGTATGTCTTATTTTCTACGGGTGTTCTTCTGCACGGCTCAGCTCGGCTATAACCCCCCCCCCCCAGCCCCCCTCTTTGCTACCTGAATGCTACAGTAACCCCGTACTTGTTGTGAAGGATAATTCAGCAGCGTGATGCGGTTTTTTTTTGAGCTAAGCTGGAACGCGAGAACGGTGCGAGTTACTCAACACCTCGCCCGACGGCGCCCTCGCTTTACAGCGCTCTCGTAACCTTAAAGCTCGGGAAGACAGTACCTGCTTTGGAGCCCCGGCGGTGAACGCGAGGCGGAGCGCGGTGTGGGACGCTGCCAGGACGCCGTCCGTGTCCCCGCTGCGGGATCGCGCCCGCGTCTCCATCCTCCGGGAGCCGGGAGGACGGCGCGGCTGCCCCCAACCCCGCGCCCCGCGTCCCCGTGGCCGCCACCCACCTGCACGCGGGCCTCCGTCAGCTCCAGGCGCAGAGCCAGCTCCTCCCTGCGGGGCAGCGCACCGTTAGCCGCCGCACCGCCCCGGAGATCCGCGGCCCTCCGCCCGGCCCGCCCGCGCCGCTACCTGGTGAACACGTCGGGGTAGTGCGACTTGCGGAAGGCGCGCTCCAGCTCCTCCAGCTGGAAGGTGCTGAAGGTGGTTCGGTACCGCCGCTGCTTCCTCTTCAGCGCCGCCGGCGCCTCGCCGCTCCCCGCCGCCTCGCCGCGCGGCCTCCCGCTTCGCTCGGACGCCGCCGGTTCCTCCGCGGGGTCGGGCCGCGCCGGGCGCTCCTCGCCTGCGGGGAGAGAAGCGGGCGGTGAGAGCGGCGGGACGGCTTCGTCGGGACCGCTCCGTCGCCCCGCCGTCCCTCACCGTGCCGTCCCGCCGCGGGGCCGCGGCCCAGGATGCCGTCGATGAAGTAGGAGGTGAGGAGGTGCAGCGCCGGCGGGGCGGCGGGGGCCGCGCTCTGCATGGCGGCGGGCGGGCGGCGGGGCGGCCCCGCGCTGGGTTTTATCGGCGCGGGCAGCGCCCGGCTCCGCGCCCCGGCATTAGCATTTCATTAGCGCGCTGTCGTCAAGGCCGGGGGTGGGACGCGCCGGGCACCGGGCGGGCGGAGAGCCGCACGGCCCTTCTTCGGGTCCCCGCGGGGTGCGCGGCGCCGTGCCGGTGCCCCCGGGCTGCGGAACGGCGGGACGGCGGCCGTGCGGGCTGGAGGGGGGCGAGGGGAGGCGGCTCCGCTCCGCAAAGGGAGGGCGGATGTCGGAGTTTGGCTCCGTCGTTTCTGCTGAACTTCAGCGCGCTGAATTCAGCATTCGGAAAGTGCCGCGTGCCGCCAGGTGCTGGGAGAGCGCGCAAAAGCATGCGAGGGATCTTGTGTTTCAAGTTAGCTGTTAGCGCGTAGGGCCTCCGAAAGGAGGACGCTGTTTCCGCAGAGGCTCTGTGCTCTTGCTGCGGTGCGCAGCTGGACAGCAACATAAATTGGTGACACGCTCCCGAGGTCGAGGTTTTGGAGGATGAGAATAAAGTGCAGTCCCTAGGGACTTCAGGGAATGTAGCAAAACAGGGATTGAAAAAAATCGAATCTAAAAATCAGTGGCTGAAAGTTGAAGCCGCACAAACTTGTTAGAAACGAAGCATAGATGTTAAACCAACCCTTGGGTGTCATTGCTGGTGGGTTCTAGGTTCCCTATCTCTGGAAAGCTGTCGATGGGGAGATGCTTCCCGAGTTTGTGACCCACACGAGTGACTGAGTCAGCTCTTGGTTCCGCCTGGCTTCATAGCCCGCAAACACACACCTTGCTCTGTTGCCCCTCTGTTCTCTCACCTCTCTGGGGCTGTGTGTGTGCTTTAGCTCTGCTGTCTGACAGAGCACCTTGCTGTCACAGTGCTCTACTGCTCTACTCTGCCGCTGAGTTCTTCATTGGGGCAGCTCTCAGCTTCATTTTTTTGCTGCAAAAATTGTGTCTGGCCTGAAGCAGTGAGCCTGTTCTTGCAGCGCCCTCATGAGAAGCTGTGGGAAAGCTCTTACAGCACTTAGTGATGCCTACTCTTGGAAACATGCTTTTCTGAAAGATGGCTACCACTTGATTAAAGCTGTAGCAATTTCCAGAACTTGTGTCTGCAGTGTCACATTGGAAAAGAGCTTGGGGGTGCTGGTGGATGGCAGCTGGAATGAGCAGCACTGTGCCCTCACAGCCCAGAAAGCCAACCGGATCCTGGGAGCATCCAAAGCAGCACAGCCAGCAGGGCGAGGAGGGGATCTGCCCTTCTGCTCCGTGCTGTGAGACCTCACCTGGAGCGCTGCGTCCAGATGGGGAGTGCTCAGCACAGGAGAGACACGGAGCTGTTGGAGCATCCAGAGGAGGGCACAAAAACGATGTGAGGGATGGAACACCTCCCTGCGAGGACAGGCTGAGAGCTGGGCTGTGCAGCACGGAGAAGGAAGGCTGTGGGGAGAGCTGAGAGTGGCCTGTGGGTATCTAGGGGGACTGTGAGATGGAAGGGAACAGATTATTGAGCAGGGTCTGCTGTGACAGGACCAGGGCAGGCGATTTTAGAATAAAAGAAGGGAGATTTGGATTGGATACAAGGAAAAACTCTTTTATGTTAAGGGTGATGAGGCTCTGGCACAGGTTGCCTGGTGAGGTGGTGGTACTTCATCCCTGGAGAGACCCAAGTCAGGCTGGACCAGGCTCTGAGCACCTGACGGCTGTGGGTGTCCCTGTTCAGTGCAGGGAGTTGCACCACATGATCTATAAAGGTCTCTTCCAACACAAACTGTTCTATGATTCCAGCAAGCTGGATGAAGCTCTGAGCAGCAGGGCTTGCAAATGGAGCTGTTTGGCTTCTGGTTTGTTCTGGGCAAGTGTGGTGCTGGCTGTCCTGGAGGGAAGTCACAGAGCAATTTCATGGGAGTAAGTTCCGAAGGGAGCTCAGCAGGAGAGAGGTCGTGCAGCTGAATTCCTGAGACCCCGCATGAGGCTGTTGCTTTCAACTGAGGCTGTTTCAGAAGTGTGGAGTGTGGAACTCATCTTTCCTTTTTGAGAAGTGCGTGAAAAGCACAAGTTCCATCAGTAGCCTCATGGAGGGGCAGAGGGATAGAAACTTGTACCTCTTAGAATGGGGAGAGAAACCTTCAGTCTGACTGCCACAAGTTCATCAGACACTCTAAAGGAGAACAGCATACCTGGATTACAGACAAAGGCTTCTCTGCATGAATTGCCTGGCTGGTGTGGGCTGAGGGAAGCTAACACTGTTTGACACAGGAGAGCTTATGTTAAAAGTTTTCTTTTTCCATACAGATTAAACAAAATGAAGTACTGAATTTCTGCATGTTCTTGTGCAATTATGTTTCCTTTGGTTTTAGTGACTGTGCCATAAATTTGTTCCACTAGTAAGTTACCAGGATGTGTGTGCTATACGTGGTAGAAGTACTGTGTATCTGTACTTTTTTCCTAATGCGCTCCCTTATACTTCAGTGAACTACAGAACTGCCTGTGTTTCAGTGTTTGCAACTGTGTTTTTTTAGCAGCTTTTAGATTTGTGTGTTGAAGACCTTATCTGTGCTAGAAGGCTTAGGTCCTCTTTCATGTTGGAAAGAACACTGGTTGTATAAAAATGTCTATAATAGGATATCTTTCCGTTTCAGGAAACAGAATTTGAGCTATTGAATTTCTTCTGGCCTCAAGAATATCTGTCAGAACCTCACTGAGGAATGTGTTATGTGCACAACACCTGCATCACCCTCCTTCCCTGCATGTTATCTGCACACATCTCTTTGCCCAGAGAGAAGATCCTGAATCTTGGAGACCAGATAGTGGAACCCCAGTGAGATCTCCCAAAGCCAAGAGCAACAGTGTGTTTTCCTGCAACTTTGTTCAACTAACCAAATCCAAGAATACACAAAACAGCAGATAAAGCCCCATTATTTCCTTGCTAGTTTAGCAACAGCCATCCAATGCAGGCTGATTTTTGTGAGAAGTATTTTTCTCAGCAGAGCTCTTTACCAGAAAGCTGTTTTTCTTCCTACAGATGTGTTTTTCTAGTGCTTTCTCTTTTGAAATTGAGGTAAAAATAGTATTTGTCACTAATGGCTGGATGAGGCAGTTAGTCCTATTTTGAGTTTTTGCACATCGCTACAAGGTGCTTCATTCAATTAGGTTGGTTTTCTAGCATTCCCTGTTTACGATTAGGTGAATCATACTATTCCTGGAACCTTTCAAGGATGGATATATTTTAGCCTTTATTTCTCAGATACAATTGAATCTTCCTTTTCTGTTTGGATATTTGAGGATTCTTCAGGCAAATCCCATTTATCCTGCTGATTAGACTTCTGACGTAGTATCTTGTATTTCTGTTGTGTCTTCTTGTGAGCTGGAGAGCCTGTTTCATACTTGCTGCCCAATGCCATTGAAAAATGCCCATAGAAAGAGTGATCTAAGCGATATTTTCATAGTTTTGTGTTTAACCAACCTTGCTGCTACTGCTTTCTTGCTTTTGTTTGGCTCCCAAAGTAAAATGTGAGAGATAAATTACGACTTTTCCTTTTTTGAAAGTGTTGGAAAGATGAAAGGCAGCGTATGTGTGTGTTTGGAGATGACGGTGGGGTTGGAACTTTGAGAGGCTCTCGATACTTGCTGTATTTGAAACGTTTCTTGGTTTGTTTTAAGAACACATCATGAGTGCCAGCATTCTTTATTGAACCTCATAAAAATGTGGCCTTGTATTTAAAGATTAATACTTAGATTTGTAAAGCAAAGCCTGTCCATAATCACATTACAAGAAAATTATGAGATGGAATACTTGACAGGGTTAACAGGAGAATCTTCCTGAATGTCCAAGGAGTTTGTTTACCAGCTTAGCAGAGATCTTCAGTGGCTTGAAGATGATGACCGCCTCCTTAGATACTTCAGTGCAGAACTTGGATGAAGGAGAAGCCTGACAAGAGCTCTGGATCAACTTGATGCCTTAGCAACTAGATCCTGAAGGACGCTGAGCATCTTTAATGCCAAGGTACCTCTCCATATTGTTTCATATTCTTATTAGTTGAATTGATGTTTCATTATGTTTGTTTTGCACAGCTTTCTGAATTGGAAGGTCAGCACTTCTTCGTTTTGTGGGTTTACATCTAGGTTATGTGGCAATCCTGCAAATACTGGAGAAATGGGAGACTGAACTTAGACAGAGCCCTGCTTGGCTTAGCTACATTGCCTGAAGTCAACTGATACCTCTTACACCAGCAGTGCTTGAGTGCAGTAATTCTTTTGTAATAGAATCACAGTATGCTGGTTTCCCATTTCACTTAATAACTTCTGAAAATAATGTAAGTGCTTTTTGCTGATGAGGCACACCTGACTGCTTGGAAAAAGATGCATGCAGTGCAAGGCAAATCTGCTTCCCATTCTGTGCTGCATATTCAAGAGCACAGTAAAATATTGGTTGGAAAACAAATGGTAATTGTGGTTCTTCTGGCTCCCTCTAGAGAAGTCATTGTGTTGGGATGATGAACACCGTTGTCACCGTGTGCTTTGTGACCAACCAGCCTGGAGCAGCCTTCTGTTATGTCACCATCCATCTGAATTTTAGAGCTGTTCACTTCTCCCCCTGCGGGTTTTTCTTTTAGACAGGAAAATAAAGGGAGCTTCAGTCTTCTCTTTGAGTATTTGGTTCTTGACGGGGATTGTTCATGAAGGGCTGGCATGCAAGAAGTTGTAAGAGGTTCCTTTTGAAATTACATGATAAAGTATTGTGAGAGAGAGCTTGAACAACCTAGATGTAATGCACTAAGTGTTCTTCCAGCAGCTGGCATAACGGACTATTTCTCAAACCCTGTAGGTTAGTAGTGAAGATAAAAATCTGGTAGAGCTGAGGTAGGAACCACAGGTCCAAAGAAAAAATAAAAACGACTGATTTATTTTATTTGTTTTAATTTTTATTTTTATTAGGAAATGTCTTTTACCAGATGATATTCTTCAGTATTGACTGGTCCTCCAGGGTTCCTTTATTCAGGTAAGGAATGGATCCTCAATTCTTCCCAAGCATGGCAGTGCTATGACTAGTTCAACTCACTTGCATGTTTGCAAACAGGGACCAAAGCACAACCCCTCAGAGAACGTGAGCTGTCTGGTAAGGTGGAAAGGCTCTTACACAAACTGTTTTGTTTCTGTGCCTCTTCCACAGCTGGGGCATTACTGCTTCATCCTTTCTCTCTATGGCAGCTTTGCTGACATTTCACATGGGGAAGCAATGCGTGAAGGGAGGGAATGATACTGGAAAGGTGCTGTGGTAGTCTGGCCATGTGAAGTGCTGCCTGTGCTCTGCCTTGCTGGGTGAACTGTTAGAATGTCCCTTTAAGGGCACTGACTTTATAACATATGAAAGATGTTCTAGTAGGCATAACTGTGGAAACCCATAGTGTGTGTGCGTCCATTATTTGGTCAAAAACTAAGCAAAGCAGACTGTCAGTAGCTAAAAGTCTGGAGAAGTGAGCGTATTTACTTGTGTGCATACTGCTCTATTTGCAGCTATTCCTTATCTGCCAGGGATTTTCCTGTATTCAGCTGCAGTGAGACCTTTGCACTGTTTTGTGCATTGCTTCTCTGTCTGATTCTTGCTTTTTGAACCAGCTTTAAGGAAAAGGATGAAGAGTCTTTCATTTCCTCACTGAGTGATTTGGGGACTCCCTCTACTGGATTTGTTGGAGTACTGAGCCCGACTGAGCTCTGGGCTATCCCATGCCTGTCTGATCATGGAAGCTTGGCTTCTAGCTGGTAATAGTGCAGATGCAAAGCAATTTGGGTCTGATATGTATTGGCCTGCTAGCAGGTCATGCTGTTACAAAGTGAATTTTTAAGAGAAAACGACCCAGTGGCTGATTGAGTTGAGCAAAGCCCTCATGCACATGTTTGAAGTTAGTTTTATCTGGCAAAGCTGGATAACTACAGCATCTCACCTTATCCAGGAGGAATGTGTGATGCAGAGGGCTTTACTTTCTTCACTTCCTCTCAAAAATCATCTACTTATAGTCCATCTTTACCCAACAGTGTGTGAGGATATTTAAGATGCTGTGTCTAATACTTGTGTTAAAAATGGCAATTAAAACTCCTATAAGATGAAAAGTCAATAGGCCTGAACATCTGTGTGAGTACTCTGCTGTAATGGGATTTTAGCATTTAATGGAAGTGCTGGCAACAACCTTTAACTGTCTGGGCTTGAGATTCCTTTCTCCATTGTAACTGTGCACTTCCATAACACTACAGATAAAGAGTTTGGATGGTTTGAATGTTGAGAAAAGGAATGAGCAATACACGAACTGTACAAATGAGAAACAAGCTGTACAAAGATCTTGTTCATTATTTGGGGCCGTGTTTCTACTGAAGCAGCAACGGTGGTTCAGAAGGATGTTGTAGAGACCTGATTTCAGGGTCGGGTTATTTACTGAGAATCTGCAGTACGTGGCAGTTAAAAGCAGTCTGTGCTGCTGGAAGCATCTCATTTTTCCCACTTCCATGTGTATACTCAGTACAGTTAGAAATACTCACCAGATGTGGGTCTTTTTTGGATGGATGTGAGACAGCACATTCTCAAACCAAAGAACGGTCCCTTGTAGCTGCCTGATGACCTGTGTGCTGTGTAAAAGCATTACAAACTCTCCCTGTGACCGAGTTTGGGCTTGATGACAATGTCTTGTGAACCTCTGGGAATGCAAAGTGAACTCGTTGCTCCCTCTCGTGGTATGCGTAAGAATAATAAAAAGGCAGTTCTAGGAAAAGCTGCCCATATTGCTGAGCAAATGTACATTTTTTTTTTTTATCTTAGCGTGTTGTGATCAAATTAAAATGAGAACTTTGAAATCAGCTCAAATGGAATGAAAGTAAAGGGTTTGGTGAGATCAGAACACAGCCCAAAGCAAGTAGCTCTGTCAAGGAAGCCTAAATGGTACATCGTCCTCTGCCTTTTAGACAGCCAGGGAATGCAGAAGGATGAAATACGGTTATATATATGCTTTTTTTGTTTTTTTTTTTTTTTTTTTTCTTACAGGAGAAACAACAGCCTAAGGCTATTTGTGTAGTGCTACCTACGTTTTTTTTGGTACCCTTAATCTGCTTGATATATTTTTTACCATCATGTGTTCTCAAGTCTTTTGCAGTTTTGTAATTCAGTAGTAGGCAGTGCATTCATTCTGTGTCTTATTGGCTTTCTCAGCTTTTGAGCATACAGAACATTTAGATAGAAACCTGAAGATCCTTCCTCAGAGATGGAAATTATGTGAATTCCTACCCCCAAAATGAGAACGGGATTAGCAGGACTCCAGGTTGCTGTATGCTGTGTGAAGATGTTTCTTGGACTTCTAATATCGTATTTGCCAATGTTCTGCTGGAAATGTTTGTGCACTTAGAGAATAATTTTTCATGTGTGTCTTTATGGTGGATGTCATATAGGATGTCATCTGTGGCACCAGGAGCTTGATTTGATGAGGACTTCTTTCGTGGTGCATAGTGTAAGCCTCATCTCTGTGATGGGCTGAGAGGTTACTGCATGCAAGTGGGAGAATCCTCCAGCATAGCCAGCTGCTTCACAGTAATGAGCAAAGCCTGATTTGAAGATACTGAGGGGCAAGTGAGGAATGTCAGAGAGCTGACCAGTTCTGTGATGGTTAAAGCTGATTGACTTATTAGAACAAGGGAGATAGGTTTAGGTCATTTATACAGAAACTGATACAATAGAGCTGTTGCCTTTTTGGCCTGAGAGTAAGTTTATGTAATCTTGTATTAAGCAGTGATGCTATCACTGCCTGCTTCTTTCACCCAATTAGAAAAGATACCTGTATTCCTGCGTGGCAGTGTAGGCCTTCTTTGAATTGCTTTAACATCAGCTGCCTGCTCTGTGGTGTTCAAACATGCAGTCTGCTTGCTGAGCACGACAGCTGCCTGTTGGGGAAGTGTTCTGGCAAGAGGCTCTGTGTGGTACTGGACTGTTTTCCATGAGTTTTCTGAGTTGCAGACTTCCCACAGCATTTTGTGAAGCAGCTTCTTCTGTCTCATATTAGAAAATTGAAATCGTCATTTGCCACTGCTGAAACAGCAGCACCTGGGTTGGTAACATCCTGCAATTCGTGTTGTGCCTTACCCTCTCAGTTGGCTTTAACTACATCCATTTAGTGTCTGCAAATTTCAGTATCATCTGTAGTCTTAAGGACAGTATGAACCACTGGTATTTACTAGGTATATTGTGATTCTGAGAATGTGATGAAAGATTTCAGTGTTAATGAAACTCTGATTTTAAGATGGTTCTCTTCGTAGTTCCAGTAAAATTTGCCTCTCGTTTCCCTTTGCAGTGGTTTGAAGAATTAGAATCTACTGCAGAGTGAGCATGTAGATATCTGTAATCTTACTGCTGACATAGGGAAAAAAAATATCCAAGGAAATCAATAGTTGCTTTATCTGGATTAGAAGCTGGGCTCTCTAAAGTGCACTCAGTGCAAGCACCAGGACTTATATTTTCAGCAAGTACAAGCTGTTGTAAAAGTGGAACATCCTTGACTGAAATCACTTTATGTCAAGCCTCAGTCAAACATGTTTTCCTGGGTGCATTTATGCAGATAGATGTCTCCTTGCTTACTTTTCCCAGTGTTGGTCATGTTGCAGGTCTACAGACGTGGAGATATGTATTTCTGTTGCTGTATTCTGTTGTTGTATTTCAGTTTTGCTTAATGATGGGACATGTCTCAAAGCTTGCACGAGTTGTACTGGTGTCTGGCAGGTCAAGCAGCCCCCTTTAGCCCTCATTGCATGGGTGATAGAAGATGGATGGTTATGCTGGGAAGTTGACTACATGGTGAAGCAGTGGGTAAAAGATTTCATGGGTGATTGGGTAACGAAACAGAATGAAAAGATACAACTAGAAAAAAATAGGAAGAAAAAAGGAAAAAAAGTGTGATGAACCTAGCCAAACCAAAGTTAAATAGGAGTCTGTGAAAAACCCATCTCAAGGGTGGGTACTAGAGATGCAAGCTGCCTGTTGACTGTTGTGGTGCAGCTGTTCCAGTGCTGGAATTGCTAACTGGAAGTTGAAGCCTATGGCACATATTTGTCAGGGTTTTTGGTTTTTTTTTCATCCTTAAACGGCCTCAATGCTGCTCGCTCTAGGCATTTAAGCTTCAGGTGTGAAAGGTACCAAATGGTTACAATATTGACCTGGAAAACCCTGAAATTACAGTAGTAACTGATAGCATGAGATCTTTTTTTGTATGATTTCTGGCTTGGAGCCGTTCAGGTTGCGTATGTGGTGTGCTGCTCCCAGTAACTACAAGGGAGTTGCTCTTTTTGCTCTCAGAAATGAAAAGCTGAGGTATTCTGATGATGAGTTATGGGACGTCTGACCAAAAAAAAAGAGTCTGTATACTGGCTCTCACTGCCTGTTTCCTTGTGAATCTTTATGTGTACTGCTCTCCTTCCTCATCCAGATGATAATATGATTTTTGTCCCAGAGTAGCCCTGTAAAATGGGAAGGTGTTGCGATTACAGACAAATGAAGCAGAGATTTATTTTTACATGAACCTGGAACATAAATATCTTTCATCCTGTTAGGCTCCTTGCTAATGGACTAAACTTGCCAGTTTGTCTCTTTATCATATTGATAGACCTGTTAAATGAAACCCTGAGAGATCAGACAATTTAGTCCTGTGGCCAGTGACAGCTTTTCACAGCAGTGATTTCTAGCTGTGTTGTACGTGCCAAATGTCCAGGCAGCTTGTGCTTATCAGCATCCATTTTACTTTTTGTTGACTTGAAGCATTAATAACCTGTCAGATTAGGTAATTAGGCTGTCTCTAGTAGCCTGGGGAAATTGTTTTTCCCTAACTGATGGTATGGGCTGTGTGGTTGTGCAGATAAGCACTTGGTCAAATGGTGATTTTTAACTTTGCTGATGAATGCAGAACAAGTGTTGAAACATGAGGGGCAATGCAGATAGCAACGCAGTCACCAGGGAAAAAATCTTGCCCCTTTCAG